ACAGCAGCATGCTACTATTATTAACTAGTACATCTGAGTGAAAAGTATGGCACTCAGCGTTTTTTGGTTCTTTCTTTCAGCTGTTTCATTTGTTGCTGAAGCTGACCGTTTAAGAATGTTCTATACAGTTTACTGGTCGACAGTACAGCTTGGTCTTCTATCTGTCATAGGCGTTTTGTCCTCTATAGCACAGGTGTAAGGCTTTGAGGTAGAAAAATTCTTCAAGAAAACTTCTACTCACTGATTTGTTTGCTAAGCTGAGTTGTGGACAGTCTCCAAAAAGCACTTGCGAAATGAGTGTAAAGGTTCTAGTCTGACCATGGTTCGTCTATTCTAGCTGTAATGCAAAAACTTCAGCGCGTGAATCCGAACTGAACAAAAGTTTTCCCATTCAGAAACAGTGCATTAAAGCCAGTATTTTTCAATCTTTTTTCGTGCATCTTTCCACTTCACAGCAAAAATTTTATCGTTGTCCCCCGTCTAATTGCATTCCATTTTCATCCTCTTTCTGTCATGGAAGACAGAGTCGGTGATCAAAACCAAAGAGTTTGCTTTTTAATCGTGAATTGTATCATTAGGCCACCTAGCCGTGAAGTCATATAACCGTTTTGATGACAGTTATATAAGTTTCCTGAGGTTAATGCGAAACCTTACGGTTAGACTTTCTTATCAAAAAATTGTTATTGTTTCGAAATTTCTAATGTATTAAAAAATGACATCCCAGCCTGCTGGAGTTAGAGACGTTTTTCATGGTTACTATTTTGACGGCATTTGCCAAAAGTGAGAGGAAGTGCGCAAAATATCAAAGAAAATCGAATGTATGGAAAAGAGAGTGAGAAAGAACTAAGTAAATAAGGAAGTGCAACGAAGAAAGAAGACTGGTTGAAACGAAGAAGGGAAGTACAGGGGTTGCGTAGTGGAGGGTAAACATGTAAGAAGTCAGCCAGGTAAAACGACATGGAAAGAGCCGTTGTTGGAGGCGAAGACCATTCAGCTGTGAACTGAGAGCTCTATAGTTTAAAGCCAAATGCATTTCCGCTGGTTCGATTGTAACAGATTCTAGATAAAACTAATAAATTTTTTTTTGAAATACCCCTAAGCGTATTCTTCAACGGCATTAAAGTAGCTAATGTTACTACAAAGACACCGTTGACTTAATGTGGCTTAATGTTGTAACGTTACTGCTTCCAAATGGGGGAAGTTCAGATGTTGATCATCGGTTCACTTGGTGTTTCAAGAACTCTCTCTTTTATTCGGCTGTGCATTAGTATTTGCCATGAGCTATAGATGCAAAATCAGATTAAGAAGCCCTTATTCTGGTTAGCCGCTTTTGTGTTGTAAGTCTGTTTGAGGATGTAAGACAAATGTTTATTTTGTTACAGCTGTAAAGATGGACTTTGAGGAAAGTTTTTGTTACCGAAAAATAAAAAGCTACGATAGCTAGTGGTGATGAGGCTGTTTCCTCTGACATTAGGTGCTTCCCTTGGGATGCAAGAAAACCTGTTTCTTATCACATTTTTTTAGCCGCTTTCCAAAATCGCTGCGTATTTTCAAGAGTAATTAAAGTTGCTTAAAATCTAAAAATTGGTGGTATGATTGAGCAACGTCATTAACAATGACGACACTAATCAAGTGAAACACCGCTCAGAAGAAGACGTCAGCTTTGCAGAAATCCCTTTCAGCAGTGAAGTAACAACAGTTTCAAAGAATAGTCATGAAGTATCTCGGCAGACTGTCGACTCCTTCAGCAAAAACCAGCAAGGATGTTGGATGCTTCCTTCAGAAGAATCGGAATTTGAGCCAAAAACTTTCATTCTGCGACCATTCTCTCCGGTGTTAGACTATGGTCTCAATAGGAGTATTTCTCTGGCTTCTCTCCTTGTTTCTTCCCGTTTCTTAATTCGTTGTCTTTCTCCACCTATTTGGTTCCCTTACCTTCCTTCTCTTATGCAGTTTACTATTTGTTATATTTTTCATACTTTTCTACGTTTTTATTAAGTTCTGACGAATCAAGGAACGTGAAAAACAGTTTCAGCATCTGTAGACCGAAAATCACTTTGATAGAAGCAACAGGAAATTGACCGGCTTTCTAAATAAGAATGCCTGATGATTGTGAACTTTTATAGTGTCTGTTGCTTCAGAAAATTTACGGACTGTAAATAGAACTTGATTCTAACAAGATTGTAACTTCAGTGCTTTGACTAAAAGTCGGATATATTTTTTGTTAAGCCAGGAAAGTTGCCGTGTAGATTATTTGTTTCAGCATCTGGAAAAACTTCGGAAAACTTCTGTTCTACGGCAGTAGTAGCGAGTAAGAATTGAATAGCTTTTTTTTTCATGTGGCGGTTCGTCCTCTGTGAGATTTGGATCGATTTTTGATAAGGGCATATCTATCGTTCAGAAATGCGTAGTGAGAACTGAAGTTGCTGAAAAGAAATTGAGTCAGCCTCTAGGTGGTGAAATATATCCTCAAATATTGTTTTAAAATCGTTTGATAACTTTATTCTTGACTCGGGAAACCAGTTATAAAATCACCGCACTTACGCTACTTTTAGACTAGTAAAACTGGGAGCAGCAATAGAGATACAGGAGCCGTCAGATGTAGAGTTTTGATCACGGATCTTTGCGCATATTGTCGATTGTATTTTGTGCCAAACTTTATTACCGCAAAACACCAATGATCAGTATAATGAAGCTGACTGTCTTACGTAACCTGGTTACAAAGTTACAAATACAAACACATGTACATTCAGAAGCTTATAATTTGGTAGTTATAGAAAGGTAATGCAGATGGGTATCAGCGCTACAAATACTGTGCCGTTTTGTTTTTTCTGCCACGTTAGCTGTCTTTTTTGCTGTCCAAGTTTTCACAAAAAAGCCAACTTTTCAACTTTCACCAAACATGGAATAAGTTTTTTTGGCCTTTTAACTTCTTGATATTTCATGAACAGGATAAAAAACCTGTATTTATTTTTATTTACAGTGCAAATTAATTTTTTGTTTAACGTTTAGGACTGTCTAGTAAAACGTTAAAAATTATGATGTTGAGACATGGAGAAACAGTAGGACAGTAGGATTCTTTTTCGTAATATAAATTAAGAAAAATTATCAAAAACATATTTTGTCAAATATTAATTGGCTTTTATTTAGTAACCATTTACAGTTTTATAAATACAAAAACACCGTTAAGCGGTGAATATTTCTTGTCAAATATCTAGTGATTGTTGTTTAGAAAATATTTTTAACTTTAAATATACAAATACTGTATGCGATACAATAATAAATGTATAATATTTATTGAAAAAAAAAAACCAAAGTTAAGCTTAAGTTTTTGCTGCAGAAATTTGTGTATTTTTTTTATTGTTGACTATTAAAATTGACTATTATTCTATTTATAAAATTTACACATGTTTAGTGTGAGCTATTTGTAGCGAAAAACATGATTAAAAAAATATTAATGTTTATGAGAACAAAAAACTACATTATATTTGCAATGTAAACACAATAATTCGTATGTTTGGTAGCCTTTCGGTGCTGCACTCATTATCTCTTCACCATTTATTTTTAAAGTTACACTTTAATATGGCCTTCAATCGACAATATTTTTACTTCTTAAGCAAGAAAATTGACTAAAACATTCAAAAAATTTTTGTGCTGTTTATTAGTCTGTTAA